CACATATTTATTCGATTCAAATCCTGTTGAAACAACATGTGCATGGATGGGCATCCCGAGTTTCAGTAAATCATCAGGGGCCAAGCAAGCACCCAGAATATTTGACACTGTAATGTAGTCCGTTTTTATACCTTCTGCTTTCATTAACTGAAAAGCTTTTACTGCTTCATCCGTTTCTTCATTCTCTGCATGGCCACCAATGAGTGCATTCCAAGTTACTTCATTTCGCTTGGGCATCATTCGGAACACCTTTTTTGCTTCAACCGTCATACCAGACTTTGCATACATTGTAACTGATGCATTTCCCACAACCAAGTTCTCATGCAGACCTGTAAGAATTACAAGGGCATGCACAATCTTTCCCTTATCAATAAACTCAGCATTTGAACAAGCCGCCAATGCACTCGTAAAAGTCACATAATTAGTTGCCTTTTTTATTTGAAGCATTTTGATCAATAATATTAAGGCATCTAGGCTATTTCCATCTCTAACATTACCGGTAATCATGGAATTCCAAGAAATTATATCCCTCTCTGGCATTTCTTTAAAGACAAATTCTGCATCATCCAACCTTCCAGACTCAGAATACATACCTAAAAGTGAATTGCATATACAAACATTTGAATCCAATCCCAACCTAACAACTAGACCATGAATTCCTCTGCCCCATTTCATATGATCTACTGAACTGCAGACAGAAAGCAAAGTTGCAAGAGTAGTAGAATTTATTTTCTCATGAACATGACGCATCAGATGGAAAAATCTCAGTGACGCTTCACAAAGTTCATTCTGAACATGTGCAGAAATTATTGAGTTCCATGAGATTGTGTCACGTTCATCCATGCGACTAAAAACATAGCAGGCCCCTTTTAGACTCCCTAAACTACCAAACATAGATATGAGAGAGTTAGCAACAGAAACTTTATTTTCAAAACCAGACTTTACAACATGACCAAAAACTTGAAGACCCAATGATTCATCTTCAAGCAACGAACAAGCAGTTAGCACAGTAGCAAACGTGTTCTCATTACAACTAATCTCTTCTTCCCTCATTTTCTGATATAAATGTATAACGTTCTCCAAATCTCCATTATCTAAATATCCAAACATCAATGAAGTCCAAGAAACTACATTCCTCTCTGGCATCTCCTCAAAGAGCGTTTGCGCATCAAAAACTCTTTTGTAAGCTCCATAAAAATGCAACAAACAAGTTCCCACAAACACATCACATAACAAACTAATTTTAACAACAAAACCATGAACTTGAATTCCTTCAATAAACATACAACCCGACCTATCACAAGCAGTTATCAAGCTTGAAACCAGAAACCCGGAAGGACAAACACCAAAACTCCGCATTTCACAGAACAAAAACATCACGTCTCCATATAAACCAACACGGACAAGGCCAGACATGATAGTGTTCCAAGAAGCAGTATTCCTAACAGACAAATGATCGAACAGGTACCGAGCGTAATCAATAAGACCAAACTTCGAGTACATGTTGACCAATGTATTTGTCAAAAACACACTTAAAGGGACTAAACCCTTGATGCAAAGTGC